GTGGACTAATTTTGCAAGTCCTGTCTAATGTAAGGACCCACCCCACTTTGCATCTTAAGAAGACAGAACTCCTGGAATATTTCTTCCAACAGGCATCTTTATTAAGAGAAAGCTGGATGCAGGCGTTCTAGACAGGACTTGGGTCCAAGCTCTCCCATTCAAGGTTTTAAGGGATCCCCCATTAGCCACACCCCCGTCAACCCCTTCTCCCAGCGACAATCCCAGGCATTACATTCTCACCCCCTTTTCCTCATTGCCGGGAGGAGACTTCCAAAAGGATTACATGAAAGCTAATGACCCTCATTGTTATTGTTAGTCCGTTTGGTGATATCCACATCCAGTCCCTTTGAAGTAGACTGAAGGAAGTGAGGGCCATAAAGCCCCTTTGTTCACCCCCTTCCCTTCATCGTATGACAGAATCCAGAGCAGGCAGAAATGCGGTTTTTCATAGTTGATAACTAGAGATGGAATATATTTGGATTCTGACACCCCTTTTAACTTTGCATTTTTAACCTACCTATTTTTAACCCATTTTAACCTATTTTTAACCCTTTTTAACCCTTTTAAACCTATATTTAAACCTATTTTAAACCTTGTTTGACCTTTTTATAATAGTCAAAGACTTTTTATAAAGTATATATACTGGTGAGGCCAGTATATATTGGAAAAAGAAGCCACCGGAGGAGGACAGAGGCATGGATAAAAGAAAGAAACGCCATGGCACCAGCCCGGGATCTCTCCTACCAGCGAAGAATGCAAAACAACCAAAAATTGAGGAGCACTTTGTTGGCAAGAGACTTGTAAGTAAAACTATTCCCCCCCCTTCATTTCCAACAAGCCAGAGACTAGAACGGGACCTGCAAAGAGATCTGACAAAACAGCAGATACTGGACTTTCCCAATCTGGGGGGAGGGGAGCAAAATGACAGCCAGCTATTTTCACAAATAACGAGTCCAGATACAGCCGGCATGGAGACAAAGATAAAGACTAAGAAGGTTGACAACAACAATCTAACTCAGAGTGGGGAGAGCTTACCGTGGGAGAATACAACAGAGTTTATGGCAAAGCAATGTCTTCTCACAGCACAAACTGTAGTTTCAATATTTGAACAACTAATAACCATTCAACATGATATAGAGATACTGAAAAAAGATATAGCTGTTCTGCTCCAAGCGCAGCATTGGGCTACAGGCACTCCCACTGAAGTCTTTACAGCATACATGGGTAAATCCAATAATCAGGAGAAGGAAGAAAAAAAGGAGGAAAATGAGCACAGACCCTGGGAAACAGATAAAGAGCATGCTAAAAAGTGGCAGCCCACTCAGAAAAACAGTCCTTCTCCAGCTAAGGCAACAAGAGAAGGAGGTATTAATAGAGAAGTTTCATGGGAAGACAATAAAGCATCCCATTTACAATTACACCAATCACATCAATTACATCGCTCACTACAAACACACTACAAACAAATTTTCCAGGAGTCTACACAGAATTTTGAGGGGGCTCCCCTCCATTTAGAGAAGGCCAATTTTGTGCGGGATGACACCTCAAGCCATTGCAACAACCCTACAACTGCCCTGGGCATAAATCTGCAGCCAGGATGGGGCCAGCAGCAACAGCCACAGAGGAGGCCCCAACACCCAGAGAAGCTGGTTTTTTTCCTCAACCAAGTGTGTTCTCATTTGAATTGCTGGGCCTATCTCTACCCGGACCCGGGGACCATGGTCGATGTGATTGCGTCCAGCCTAGAGGGAGAAGCATCCGAATGGCTGAACAATTTATATAATGAGCAAGCCCCCGAATTGGAGGACCCCCCACCTCTTCCTCCTAGGGCTGAGGGAAAGATTTGAGGACCCATCTATTGGTCTTAAAACAAGAGAACAGATCCACAAAATAAAACAAGCCGGCAGACCTGCCCTGGAGTATGTGCGGGAATTTCGCAAGATAGCAGGTCGAATAGAGGGGTGGCCTGAACAATCCCTAACCCATCACTTCATTGAGGGATTAGACGATCACCTCTCTCATGACACCTGCATCTATCGAGCCGTACTTGATCAGCTGCAAGAATGGTACCAGGCAGCAGTGAAGCTAGACGTTCACCTCGCCCGCTATAAGAAGCCTCCCCCGCCTGAATCTGAGCAGCCACCAGAGCAACCCGGACAGCAATCACCCCCACGAAAACCTCCAACTACTGCGATGACTGAGAGACCCAGACCACCTGCAGGAACGTCAAATAAGTGTTTTCGGTGAGGACAAGAGGGACATCGAGCGGCAACCTGTCCAGTCCCCTACCCCCAACTGCAGAGCAGATCGGAACCAGCGACGAGAAGGAAACCTGCCCAGCGGCTAACGAGAGAAAAATCCAACCGGGTCACGCAAAAACCTGTTGCCCAGATTACACCCCCCACACAGGAGGATGCCAGGACTCCGGGTGGACCCGCCCCTACTCTACCCTCCTTTGACAATGACGATGAAGGAGAGAACGACCCGATGGTGAGTCGACAAATCCCGCCTTTTTCACTGGCCGCCAAATTTATAATCCCTAAGTCTGGGGCACAAATGGATTTAAACGTGCTAATTGATTCTGGATGCACCCGCTGCATTATTAGTCTGCCGTTTGCCATGAAAATGGGCATACGGGCAAAACAGCTTTTCAAACCTGTGAGGTTTGAGCAAGCCGATGGCTCCCTGATGGGAGGGACTGTTTTCACACAAGTAACTGAGCCCTTACGCCTAGAAATAGGTGCGCACTGGGAGTTTATTCACTTCCTAGTGGCTCCAAAAATGACTGAGACTGTGATGCTAGGGCTAGCCTGGTTGGACAAATGGAAGCCATTTATCTGGTGGGAGAAAGGAATGAGAACTGTGAGACTACCTATAGGGCCTAAACCTCCCGCTGATTCAACCGATGTTGCGGGACATCTTAGGCCACCCAATGAGCGAGCGCACATGGCTGCCTCACCGCCGCCGAGTGAACCACTCATCCCCAATGAATACCGGGACCTGGCAGAGGCATTTAGTGAAAAAGAATGCGATGCCCTGCCCCCTCACAGACCCAATGACTGCTCCATCAAACTGGTGCCAGGAGCCAAACTCCCACACCCGAGAATGTATGCTATGTCCACCCTCGAAATGGAGGAGATGCAGCGATACCTGAACAAAAACCTAGCGAGGGGGTTCATCGAACGGGCCAAATCTACCGTGGGAGCCCCTGTGTTGTTCAAAGAGAAAAAAGATGGATCTCTTCGTCTCTGCGTAGACTATAAGGGTCTCAACGCTGTGAGTGTGGAAAATAAATATCCCCTCCCCCTCCTAAAGGACTTATTAACCCATCTGGCTAAGGGGAGTGACTTCACTAAATTAGACCTGAGAGAGGCATACTACCGGGTGAGAATAAAAGAGGGAGACGAGTGGAAAACTGCCTTCAACTGTCCTATGGGGAGCTATCAGTTCAAAGTCATGCCATTTGGACTACAGGGGGCCCCAGCCGTATTTATGCAGTTGATTAATAAGGTCCTACATGATCACTTGTACAAAGGGGTTTTGGTGTATCTTGATGATATCCTGATATACAGCACGAATATGACTGATCACATAAAGCTGGTGAGAGAAGTGTTAAAGAAACTATTGAATGCCAAGCTTTATGCCAAATTGTCGAAATGTGAATTTCACCAGACCCGATTAGATTATCTTGGCTACAGAATTTCCAATGAGGGCATTGAAATGGATCCAGCCAAGGTGAAAGCTATAATCGAATGGCAGCCCCCAAAGACTCGCAAACAGCTCCAGAGCCTTCTGGGTTTTGCCAACTTTTATCGTCAATTCATCCCCTCTTTTGCCGAGATTGCCCTACCCCTTACAGAACTACTCAAAACAGGCAAAGGAGGAGGGAAGCCACGACCGGGCCAACCACTAGCATGGACGATGAGCTATTTTTAAGATATTGACTTAACTAAAATCTTTTAGCATGGCTTGGTAAGGCTAATTATATAAAGAATGCAACTGATAAAATATTGCAATTGGCAGGCTGAGAACAAACAGTTAAAAGCCTCACTTGACTCTGAAGTTCACTCTGCTGCTTAAGGCGCAAGTTCTCTGGAGTGTCAGCCACCATGGTGAAGGACTGCTTTGGATAATGTCTGCAAAAAATAAATAAAAAATAATTAAGGAAGCAGTACTAACTACTCCCCTTTCAAGGTTGTTTACTGCATTTTTGGTTTCTGAACAAATTGTGGGCCTTCACTAGCAATTCAAGATAATTCTATCCATCACAGTAAGAGTATTTACAATTTATTGCTGTTACTTTCAGTCCCTGAAAGATTACAAAAATAGTCAAAATTTAAATTTGAAACAGGTTTTGTACAAACATTTTATTAATAGCTGTGCTGGCTGGGAATGATAGGCTAATGTATTTAGATGTTAACAGGTTAGGGAAAGCTGAGTTAAAAACTTTCCTTAACTAGAAGCCAGTACCCTACAGTTGTTTTATTTTATCATTTTTGGTTTTTTGCACACAATAGCATCAAAATAATTAAAAATTAGGCAAATGCATGAAAACTTGAAGAACAAACAAGCGTACACACACACACACACACATATATCAATTAAACTTTAGGTTTTGTCACCACACCACTTATCAGTCATACTCAGAGTAAACCCAAGAATTCAACATTTCTAGCCTAATGTAACATTGGGCTAGAGACAGGAGCCATTAAATTTCCAGTTTCCAATATTTTGAACCAGAGGAGAGTAGACTCCTGTGGACGATTTTCAGGAACTCCTGTTTCATTAAAGTTGCTTCTAGGCTTCTAGGTTAATCTCAAACTTTATAATAAATATTAACCCTACACACTTAAATACAGTAATCACTTTGTTCTATTATATTTTGCATTAAAAATTCAGCTCTCATAAAATCTCCTTATCATTGAAGTCACACATGTACTGTACATTTTGTGCCACTGCTTTGCAAACAGCCTTGTGTTCTTGTGCGAATTTTAGTTTACTGGGACACGAAAAGATATAGATTGGACACACCACTCAAAGCACTGGAGTTCTTCGACAACCACAGAGCCTTTCTGGAAAGAGGCGACCCTGAACCAAAGAAACAAGAAGAAATGGCAGTTGAAGGAGCGGCCAAACAAAAAGAGGAGGAAGAAAATAAAAATACATACTCAGAAGGAGCAAGACCAAGAGACCAGAGACAGATAAGATCGACTAGAAGACTGAGACCTAGATATAACTGAAAGAGATGGAGGAGACTGAGATTTTATCAATAAATATAAATGGACTAAACTCTCCTTCAAAAAGGAGAAAAATTTTCATACGACTACAAAAATTAAAAATGGATATAATTTGCCTTCAAGAAACACATATTAAGAGACATTTCAAATTGCTAGAACAACCGAAAAATTGGTATACTGTACTTTGCATTAGCATCTCAAAAAAAAAGAGGAATAGCTTTATACATTAAAGAAAAGATGAACCCCAAACAAATCTATACGGATGAAGAGGGGAGAATACTAATGGAAATTATGATGGATCAAAAACAGATATTGATGGTAGCAATATACGCACCAAATGATAAACAAGAGCAATTTTATCAAAAACTATATAAAAAAATACTAGATTTAAATTACCAAAATCTTTGTATAATGGGAGATTTTAATGCAATAGTAGATGGAACTCTGAACTATAAAAGCGCTAAACAAGGGAGAAAAGGAGGAAATATACTACCTAAAGCAGGGCTTTTCAACCTTTTTACCAATTGTACCACTTTTAGGATATGGCAATATTCGAGTACCACCTAGAAAGGTGTCAAAAACTTGATGACAAAAAAAAACCTGTTCAAAGTTGCAATTGCACTGAAATGACTTATGACCATTTTTCACACTTATGACCATTGCAGCATGCCCAGGGTCATGTGATTTATATTTGGATGCTTGGCAACTGATTCATATTTATAATGGTCACAGTATTCCAGGGTCATGTGATCCCCTTCTGCAACCTTTTGACAAGCAAAGTGGGACACGGGTCCAGTAAACATGTGGTGGTGTTCAGCCGTCCCAGCATTCTGTCCATGTCCTCGGGGGTCACAGGATCAAACTCTTCCCATAAAATGGACTCAAGACCTGCCTCCATTGGCCCGCCTGAACTAGTCCAATCGGAGGCTAACCCGGCCCGGATCCGATCGATTTTGTCATGCAGGTAACACCCAAATTCC